TTGTGTCCCTCAAAAAATGTATATGTCAACTTGGCTGGTCTATGGTTCTCAGTGGTTTGGCAGTTGTACAATGATATAATAAGGCAGTTATGTGATGATTCCCCATGATATGATCTGATGTGATAAACCAGTAAAAGGGTGGGATGCAACACAGTCCTAAAGTGATACATGAGAATTGCCCTAGGATGTGGCTTGCACCACCTTTAGTTTCAAAGGAGATAAAAGGAGAATCCAGCAGAGATTGGAAGGCCCTACTCCTGCCAAGAAATGAGAGTCAAAATTAGAGTGCATCCTGTGGACCTGAGGTTCCTGACCTGTGAAGCTTCTAGGCCCAAGGGGAGAGTGATACCAAGACACATGGAAATTCCACGAAATGCCAGCTCTACAGATGGTAAAAGGAGACAAGGACCTTTCCCCAGAGCACAGAGAGAGAAAAAGGTAACTAAGGCAGAATATAAAATGGTCCAGCAACCATGAAAAATTTAACCATTACTCAAAAAGTTAAACGCAAAATTGCCATACAACCAAGCAATTCCATTCCATACATGCATAAGTTTATTCTAAACTAAACTTGTTTATTCCAAACCAAACATGGCTTTAACTCAGTGGATGGCTGCAGACAAGTTCCCAGAAAAACACTTGTATTATTCTCACTAGGGTGTCTCCAAAAAAAAGACCCAAGATAAAGCACCGGCTAGGCTGCAGATAAAGCTCTCAGTAAAACACCTGTCTTATTCACGTTAGAGTGCCTCCGAATCACCAAAAATACTCACAAGATAAAAGTAATCTGACACACATCAATCAGTCTTTTAAACAAGATCAAAGCTAACGAAGAAGGAGGAAATTATAACCTGACACAAGCCTTGATGTAACAATATGAACCAGACTCCAGTTCAATCAAAACCGTGGTACCAACAGGATCGCTAGTTAGGTGCCATCAGGTCGGTTCCAATTTACAGTGATCCTTTGTACCACAAAATAAAGCACTGCCCTGTGCTGCGCCACACTCACACTTCTTTTATATTTGAGCCCATTGTTGCATCCAGTTGTGTCAATCCATCTTGACATTTTAGCCATGATATCCTTCTCCACAGACTGGTCTCTCCTGACAACATGTTTAAAGTACATGAGAGAAAGTCTTGTCATCCTTGCCTCTAAGGAGCAAGGATGTGCTTCTTCCAAGACATACCTTGTTTGTTCTTTGGACAGTCCGGAGTACTTTAAAACACTGCTCACTAGTACTATAGTTCAAATAGATCAATTCTACTTTGGTATGCATATGAGGTGATTGAAAATACCATGGATTCTGTCAGGTGCACCTTAGTCCTCAAAGTAACATCTTGCTTTTCAACACTTTAAAGTGGTTCAATGCAGATTTGCCCAACACATTGCTCCTATTTAGTGTCAAGTTGCAGTTGAAGAAGATAAAAATAAGTCGACAAGAAACAAAATATGACTTGGAGGTTATCCCACCTGAATTTCGAGAATGTCTTAAGTACAGGTTTGACTGCTGCTTCCATGAGCACTGTCTGTGGATTCAAGCAAGACAAAATCCTAGACAACTTCAATCTTTTCGGCATTTATCAAGGTATTAAGTATTGGTTCAGTTGTGATGGTCTTGATCTTCTTTACATTGAGTTGTAATTCATACTAGAGGCTGCAACCCTTGATCTTCACCAGCAAGTGCTTCAAGTCCTCCTCACACAAGCAAAGTTGTATCATCTGCATATTGCAGGTTGTTACCAAGCCTTCCTCCAATCCTGATGCTGCATTCTTCTTCATATAATTCACATTCTCTGATGATTTGCTCAGCATACAGATTGAAAAAGTATAGTGAGAGGATACAACTTTCATACACACCTTTCTTGATTTTAAACCATGCAGTAATACCCTGATTCTGGTCACAGAATTGCCTCTTGAATCATGTTCAAGTTCTACATGAGCACAATGAAGTACTATTCTGGAATTCTCATTTTTCTCCTGGCTACCCAGTTTGCTATCATTCACACAAATGCCTTTGCATACTCAGTTAAACATAAGTAACTATCTTCCAGGTATGATCTCCTTTCAGCCAAGAATCATCTGAAATCAGCAATGATAGCCTTTGTTTCACATCCTCTTCTGAAACTGGCTTGAACCTCTGACAGCAAACAGACGCACACCTTTCCTGATTTAAAAAAATAGATTTCCTTTGTTCTGTTCCCACAACTGCCTCTTGATTCATGTACAGGTTCGGCATGAGCACAATGAAATGTTCAGGAATTCCCATTCTTCTCGAGGCTATCCATACAGATTGTGATGATCCACACAGTTGAATGCCTTGGCACAGTCAATAAAACACAAGTAAACATCTTTCTGGTATTCAAGATCTACCTGACATCAGCAATGATAGACCTTGCTCCATGCCCTTTTCTGAATCCAGCCTGAACCTCTGGCAGCTCCATGTCAATGTAACGCTGTAACCATTATTGGATGATCTAAGCAAAATCCAAATTGTGTATGATATCAATGATAGTGCTCTGTAATTTAAGCATTCTGTTGGGTCACCTTTTTTTTTGGAATGAATGCAAATAAGGATCTCTTTCAGTGAGTTGGCCAAGTGGCTGGCTGTCTTCCAAATTTCCTGGCATAGATGAGTAAGCGCTTCCAGTGCTTCATGAGCTAAATCCCTGGAGTCTTGTTTTTGACTAATGTTTTCAGTGCCGCTTGGATCTCTTCCTTCAGTACCACTGGCTATTGCTCATATGCTACCTCATGAATTGACTGAATGACAACTAGTTCTTTTGATATAGTGACTCTGTATGTTCTTACCATCTTTTTGGGTGCTTCCTATAACATTCAACATTTTGCCCATAAAACCCTTCAATACTGCAACATGTGAACTTGTGAACTTTTTTCTTGAGTTCTTTCAATTTAGGTCTTTGTGCTTCTCAATATAATATTTAAAAAATAATAATAATAATATTTTACTTAGTCTTCTCGAATTGACCTTTGAAACTATCTGTTCAGCTCTTTGACTTCATCATTTCTTCCATTTGCCTTAGCTACTATATGACCAAGAGCAGGTTTCAGTCTCTTCTTACACCCATTTTAATCTTTTCTTATCTTTTTAATCAGCTTTTGCTTTCTTCATATATGTTCTTGATATCATTCCACAATTCATCACATCTTCTATTATTAGTTTTTAATGTATCAAATCTGTTCAGGTGGGATATCCTCCAAGTCATATTTTGTTTCTTGTGGACTTATTTTCATTTTCTTCAACTTCAACTTGACCTTCCATATGAGCAATTACTGATCTGTTCCATCATCGGTCCTTGGCCTCATTTTAGCTGCTGATATTGAGCTTTATTTGACTTCGATGCATTCCATCTGCAGAAGTCCACGTACACAGTTTTGTTGCTGAAAAAAGGCATTTACAAGACCATATTTTCTAAGTACTGTTCTTTCTTCTTTGTTTCCAACTTTTGCATTCCAATCATCAATTATCAATGCATCTTGGTTACATGTTTGATCAATTTCAGACTGAAGACATTGGTAGAATTCCTCCATTACTAGCTTTAGTGTTTAATGCATGTTTGAATGAAAGCTGTATTCATTGGATTTCCTTGTATGCAGATAGATATTATCCTATCACAGGCAGCATTGTATTTTAAGATAGATCTCGAAATGTCCTTTTTTTGATGGATGCAACAGTAGTCCTCTTGAATTTTCAATTCCTTGCTTTACTAAACCACAATTTTCTGATTCAAAATGATCAATATCAGTCCATTTCAGCTCACAAATGCTTAAATGTCAACTTTATGTATTTCACTCCATTTTTAACAACTCCCAATTTTCCTAGATTCATACTTAATACATTCCAAGTTCCGATTCTAAATTGACGTTTGCATCTGTTTCTTCTCATTTTGAGTCATGTCCAATCAGCAAATGAAGGTCCCCAAAGCTTTATCCCCATCCACATCATTATGGTCTTCTCCACTTTGAGAAGGTTAAATTCTTCCTCAGTCTTATTTTGAGTGCTTTCCGACCTGAACGCATGAAGTTTTCATTATCTGATAATGTTTCTATGCTCCATAAGGTTTCCAGTGGCTATTTCCTCATATATGGACAGCCTCGTCCTTCTTTGTCTTTGCCTAGTCTGGAAGCTCAGTTGAAACCTGTTCACTCAGGGTGACCCTGCTGGTATTTGAAATGCCAGTGGCATGGTTTCCAGTATCGCAGCCACACACAAGCCACCACAGTATGACAAACTGAGAGACAAGTGGTGGAGAAGATATCCTGGGCAGCTACAGGGACTGAATATAGAGATTCCACGGGAGCAATCTTGATAGATTTTATTGAAGGACACAAGATGATCACGGGGACTTATTAGAAAGAAGTTTATAGAAAATGGAAAATTACACTGATGTGAAAAAAAAGCCCGAGAAAGTTGTGTCAGGCTTTTTTTTTAATCCTCCATCAGAGTGCACCTGTGCTCTCCCATCCATCCTACAGCTGATTCCGTCCTTATGATTTGTTTTGTTCCCAAAACAAAAAGAACATTTAAAAGAACATGATTTGATTCTTTCAAGAATGCCAAAACTCTTGCTTTCTTGTGATATAAATCAAAGAGCATAGAATTCCTTGGGGACATATCTAGAAAGCTGATTAACACAGCTTTCAGAAGTGTATAAAACTAGATAAAAGATATTGAGAAACGATAGCTTCACAATTTTATGTTTTTAAGAAAAGGTTTCTGTGCTTTTGTAACAATGCTTTTGACTAACACTTTTATTTACCACAATAAAAAGAAAAGGTAAAAATGACCCTTTTTTGGTTATATAAATTGTGCCGCAATAAAATTATTTAAAAGAAGAAGGGCACTTTTGAGAACTCTTGAAATTGGAAAAAAGCACAACAGGTCTTGAACAGGGTAAAAGACCAGCTTCAGTACAGTGGCCTATATATAAAATCTGTACGTGTCTCAAAACATCAACAATTAATCTATGGGTACTCACATTGGCCCACATCTGCAAAGTGGAAGGGTCAATTTTATATAGCTGATTAAAGTTACAGTACACGATGGCATCTTCTGGCAACCCGTATTGAGAACGGGTAGTCACAATAATGGTACGAGGAACCTCCTCTCCAGTTGCAGCTTTATTATTGATCTAGAACAAGAGAAAGAATATGATGACTGTATTTGAAATCCAGTAATTTTTCACTAACAAAGATTTCTAAAGATGCCAAATGGGAAAACCACTAAAAGTTTTCTAATATGAGAAAATATTCATGACAGAAAACAGAAAAAAGTCTTAACAGTGTGTTGTTACAAAATAAAGAAATCATCGAATCAATTCTAACTCAAAACATCCTATAAGCTTTCTAATGATAGCGTTGTCTTTCTCCTGCACAGTAGCTGGTGGGTTTGCGCAAACAACCTTGAGGTTATCGGTTCAATGCTTACCAGATGGCACCACCAGCGCTCCTTATGTTGTTGCAGCTTATCTTATTTGGGGGCAATTGATCTAGTCAAAAGGATTTCCTCAAACCCTAACTAATCATTCAACAGCAAACATTTGCATTTTTCCTTTATGACTGAAATGCCTTTTTCCAAATCTCATCTACCCTTCAGGGGTAAACTTAAATTATTCCTCTAGCTAGTCTCCTCTCGTAATATTACCTCTCTTTCAATGATTAGTACCATTACGGAGCTTCTAGAGTATACAAGCATCATCTTATTATGTTATTCCCTCATATGAGGGGATTTCAAAGTTCATGGCAGAGTGGAATTAAGAGAACAGTTTTTTCTTTTTTTATGCATAAGCTTCCTTTATTGAAAATAATGGGAGAGTACTGCATTACATATATTCAATATCCATAAATGAAGGGCCACACATTTCTGACTGAACATTACTGTTTTAAATAGAGCACACAGCATCTGGGTAGGCTCTCACTAGTATCATGGACTAAACTAGGCAGGAGTGAGCTATACGCAGAATGACCATTGTATTTGCGAATAGCATATGGCAGCCAATGGCACAAATGGTAAACATGATCATCATGAGACACTCCTGGTATCTCACATCCCAACATTACTGAGGAAGCAGGTTAAAGACAAACTGCCAGGATCTTGTTAATCTACGGCTCCGTTCACAATAGGCCATGGGTGACAGACACGCCCAGGCTATAGGTTTGAGAGTTTATAGCATTTACTTTCAATTGCCTGGACTGTGAATAGAGTCCAATGATTACAGATTTCACAGGAGACTACTTGGCAATTTATGTTTGTTCCCTTTGATGAATTATCTAAAAGGAAGAATACAGAAAATAACTCTGTAAGTCTAAATCTAGTATTCAAAGAATGTGAAAAAGAGAAAAACAACTGACAAGTATCCAAATACTACTTATTAATTTCCCCCTCTAAGATCAAGAGGGATATAATTTAGGACAGATCATTTTTCAGCTTTGGCTATTATTTGAAAAAAAAAATTTTTACATTAGCAGTCTTTTGCTTTCTTCATCAAAGTCTGGTAATCAGTGATATTGGTTAAATTGTTGACAAAGTGTTATTTTAATAAAGACCTATTTAGTGATGTGGGGGAAAAAGTTTTCCTTTTTCTTCCAGTTTTGGTATGAATGCATTTCTTCCTTCACATGAGAGTATAGAAATAAGGAAGACTCTTGGGCTCATTTAAAATTTCTCGTTTGATTTTTTAAAAGTTAAACACTCAGTTCTTTTTAAAACAAACACCTACTTAAGGTAAATACTTAGTGGGGTGGAGGGAGATTATGGAAAACACACCATGAACTTAAGTTTTTAAAGACACATGATTTTACATGAAGTAAAACATTTTTTCCTCAAGAGTAGTTTGTTTTAAGTGCAGGTTCACAAAGAGATGCATTTTTATCAACATTAGTTTATGGTTGTGAAAGATGGCTTTTCTTTACACATGTATAGAAATATGTCCAGGGTAAGTAAAAATGTACCTTTCTAATGGCCTACACCAGTCGAACCAAGGAGCATTGGTGATGACTTTTTAAAAATTCAAAATTATGCACTCGATATGCATATACTTCTAAAGACATACCACCCTAAACAATTAGGGCAAAAAAAATTCAATATAAAATTTTATAAATCAAATGAACTTGTTGGCAAAACACAGCATAAAATCTATACATGTTTTTCAAGATTTGACACATTAAAAGCGAAAAAACTGTCAACACATTCCAGACAACGAATTAGAAATAATAAATAAAAGGTTTTTTTAAAAAATCAACATTCCCCCTTTAGAAGGTATGTATTTCACTTTACTAAGTGAGACTCCTTGCATGGCAAACAATAGTATGCTATACATTTTGGTAATGTAAAGTATGCTGATAAGTACCCAAGGCATATATTTTTTTCCCACAGTATCTTCTTTTAGTTACCAAAAATAAAAGTTGCATTCAACTCATACATCTATAAACACTGATGCCTCACAAGATGGATTCAAAGGAGACGGGACCTCAAATGTCGTTCCTCAGTGCCTGCCCTCCACGTACACCTTTCCAATCTTTCTGCAGTGATTGCACATCCAGCTGAGGCAGAAAGAAAGCATTGTGATGAGCGAGCAGGCTGGGCTGGAACCCTGGTCATCCAGCCAACTTGAGGGAAGCTGATCAAAGCCCGTTTTTTAATGGTCTTCTCTTAAGGCACTCTCAGTTTCACTCAAACGTCCATACCTCGAGGTTCTGAACTATGAAGTCTTCCTTTTTAGAAAGAATATCATTATTGAAAGTGCTGCAGGAGTTGCTCTGTCCATGGTATAAATCAGCATCTAGTCATAAACCAAACTGTCCCACTCCTCCACAAAGTTCTAAGAAAACTTATGTCTAAAAACAACGTTCTAAAAAACATTGAAGTATGAGTTTTCTCCACTCCACTTAAAGACCTTGAAATTGGGACTAAAAGTGTAGAGGAAAGTGCCATAGTAGTGGTCCCTGACCTTGAAAGGATGTGTGGCATATGCTCCAAAAATCTGATTATCCATATCCTTGAGGACCACTAAGACAGGACTATCTAGTGATGCTCACTTCCAATAGAGTGTTTTCAAGCTGGTCCCGTGCTCCAGTGTGCCGCAGGCAAGTCTCCACGGATACCCCTGTACCCTTGCTGGAAGGCGTCAGGCCAGCTGCTCTAGGTGCATGTTCTCCAGGAGGGTGCTCTGCAGCTGCAGGACTGGCAGCACTTCCTCCTCGTCCTCCTCATAGTAGCTGCATGTGCTCGTCCTGTGCTTGGCCTCCTCAACAGTGATGATCTCCCAGCTCTTGGTCGTCAGCTCACTGAAGAAGTTGTCGATCATATTCAGTTCGTCCTTTTCCACCACCACGAAGCCTTGCTCTTTGGCATCCTTATCGTAGACACCAGGAGACCATTGAACAAAGAACAAGTACAAATGATCAACCCTCTCTCGAGGAACAGCAAACCAGTCCTCGGGCTGCTTCCTTCGTCTGCCATACTGCTGGGTCATGGCGGCAGGGTGGGTGGCAAAGGATTTTCTCATTGGTTTCCCCACCTTGATGCACAAAAACATGGGAGGCATCTTGCTTTTCTCTTCTTTTGAAGGAAGTATATCTGCAATGGGTACCTGGATTCTCTTTAATAGCCACAGCTAAATTTCAGATGTATTATCCATTTGCGCACAATGGCAGCTTTTATCCAGAGATGATTCCAAAGAGGACTCTAGAGACTCCTTAAACTCATTTTCTTCTGCAGAAGGTTCTAGTTGCAGTGGAAGGGGTGGGCTGATTTTATCCAGCTCTTCTTTGCCCTCAGTTGGGGGTCACCTGTCTGGGGAAGAGCGCTACTCTTCCCCACAGGAGTGATGTCTCCTCCTATGGGCTTAATGCTTTTGTCATCACTTAATTCTGCTTTCTGCACATTTTCGGGTAACGGTGAAGCTTCTCTGTTCTTATTAAGGTAATATTCGATGAGTTTAACTTTATCTAGCTCTTCGTGTATGTTCAGTGTGTTTTCCACTTGGCTCTCTGGGGACCCGGACTGCTTGTCCACTTCTGGCATTATATCTTGCTTCTCACAGGCTTCTAAATCTAGGGCTCCCTTCAGTTCAGCACCACCCTCTGTTCCCGAAACATTCAGAACTGACTGCAGCTGCCCTTCTACAGCAGAACTGATGACTTTTGACTTAGCTTTCCTTAAATCCCTTGGGTCAACACACTCCTTAGCATGGTCTCCTTTGTCCAATCCACTATCAGTTTGAGAAGAAAGTTCTTCCAAGTCAACAAAGTCATCATCTTCCAATAAATGGGCATTTTCTTTGGCTTTAGATTCAAATGCTGAGTCAGGAAGTCCCTTGCTGATCCCTGTGATTGGGGTAGATCTGCTGGTTGCCTCTATAGAAGATTCCTGTTTCTTTTATTTTCCGGGCAAAGGGCTGTCCAAGGGCTTTGTAGGTGTGTCATCGGATGCCTTGTCCCAAGTTTTTGTTGATTTGGAACCTGTACTGATAGTTCTCGCTCCATTCCGCTGACATTTTTCCTTGTTGAGAGATTTGAACTTACTGAATGGGTTGATATCCTTTTCAGAAGCCGGGTCTTCCCATTCTCCAGGCGAGGGCAATGCATCTTTGATCCTCGTGTGGGAAATGTCATTGTCGAGAGCAATGGACACCACCTCTTCCAGGAGGCAGATGAGGCCATATTCTTCACACCCATTTTCAATAACCAAGGGATCCGACTTGTGACAATCGTGACACCTCCAACTACACCCTTCCCCCCATCAGTGAAGTAGCGACGATTCATTTTTTAAAATTTTACAACGCCTGGCTCATCTTCAGATGTAGATGGTAAGACTCTTTCAATCGGTTTGAAGGCCTTTCTTGCTAAGTCAGCATCAGGCAATTTATCATATTCTGCATCTAAGGATGACGGAGAGATAGTAGCGCCAGCGTTGGATGACGACAACCTTAAGGTACTGGAAGGAAAGTTGGCATCCAGCACAACAAGGACCTGTCCTGGAACAATGGTGTGAGTGAAAAGTTTGTTCAGTTCTACTAGTTTATTGCAGTTTATTGATGCAAAACTTCAGGGCTGTGGAGTTGAGGGTGTCCTGGCTCCCAGCAGTGTACTCCACAGTCCGGTGTGGCTTCTGAACCACCGTCTTCTCCTTTTTATCGTGTGTCTTGTTCTGAGGGTCATCAGTATTAAAGTAGCTCTTGAATTCTGGACGCTTGATCGCCTTTAGCTGATTGTTTTTTCTTTTTTTTCTTCTCATCAGTAATGTATTCCTCATGATCGACAGTGATATTGCACTTGTCTTGTTCTACAATGGTTGTGTGAGCATCTTCTTTTCCAGTGTGACTCCTTGTAGCGGTGGCTGAAGTGGTCTCTGCATTTTGTTGTTTTGTTGCCTTGTTTTCTCTTTTTCAATTGAGCAAAATAACTTTGTTTCCGTTCCTTCTTCTCTTCCTTGGTATCCACAATACACAGTAAAGAAGTACGCATGTGGAAAGTCCTTCTTTTAAACCAAGGCATCATCCCCCTGGCCCTGGGCCGCATTCCCTACCGGCAGCCCTCCTGGACCCAAACAGTTTTTTACACAGGCATTTTGAAGCCCCTCTGAATTTGGTTCTGCCTTACATTGTTATGTAACTATCACAGACTTGGATATTCTAAACAAACTGTTCACTCCTAGAACCAGACATTCTTGCCTTACAATCTTGTAGCAAGAGTTCTATATTCATTTATTCATGCATGCAATATATTATCTATTGTGTACAAACTATATCACTGTGGCTAAGACATGGCATTAAGTTAACTCAAGTCAGTGGAAGACAGAAACAGCATTACAATGTGCTCTATTAAACGTTAATGATATACTCCAAATATTACAGAAGTATAGTAGTTAGGTGATGAAGAAAAGAGGAATGGAAGGTTAAGGGATAAAGTCAGGAACAAATTCCTAAAGTATCTGTCTGGACTGAAAGTCTTAAAGAGTAGTAGCATTTAGCCAGGGAAAGGATGAATTACAAAAACAAGAAACTATATGGTCAATGAAGAAATGGACAAACTACGGTACCTGCATATAACTACACAATGCTAAATAATAATGATGAATCTGCAAAATACCTTATAACACAGATGAGCCTGGAGAATGTTATGCTGAGTGAAATATCAACCACAAATGAGCAAATATTATAAGACTTAATATTATAAAAAAGGTTTACATGAAGAAACATTCTTTATGTACCGGGGATGGGAAGAGGAGGGAGGGGGAAAAAAGAAAACCACTAACTGAATAACAGACATGTATTAATTAACTTGAATGAAGAGGAAAGCAATCCATAATAAGAGGAAATCAGCATAACATGATCAAGGCAAAAGACATCCGGAAGTCCATTAAGAGCCAAAGGAAAGAGAGGTAAATACTATTATATACGCAAACGTGCAACAGTACTAACAAACAATAATTTACAAGTGGTTGCATAGGTAGATATGTAAGCTGAACACATGCGGGATGACATATGGGAGTATACTCATGAGCATATACATGTTTGGGAGAAGGTATTTCTACATACGCATTTGTATGTGCTACAAATATGTCCAGGTATAGTGTAAAGCATTCAGGGGGCAGAGGTATGCAAACTTCTTAGCCATAACTAAACAACTCAGAGAACTGAGTAACCAGCTTGGAAGCATAGCTTCAGGGGGGACATCTGGGTCAACTGGCATAATATAATCCACAAAGAGTAGCAACTGGGGTTTTAAAAGCTCTAGAGCGTCCATCTAAGATACAACTATTTGTCTCTTCTCATCCAGAATAAAAATTAGTAAAGATTCAAGAAAATGATCACTACAAAGGACTAATGGTATACACAAACCACAACCTCCACTATAGATGATATATATGCCTACCGCCTGCTCTGATTGGGATCATAATAGATGGCCCAGGACATAGTGGGAGGAAAATGTAGAAAATTCATAATGAAAAAGAAAGGGCTTTCTGATCTGATGAGAGATTGGTGGGACCCTAGAGACTATGGACCTTAGACACTCTTCAAACCTGGAATTGCATCCACTCTTGGAGATCACCTTTCAGCCAAATAATAGACCAGCAATCAAGTGAGCACAGTAACACCTGTAAGGTCCATGCTCCCCAAACCAATCAACCAAACTAAAACGCACTGTCATCGAATTGATTCCCACTCACAGCAACCCTGGGACAGAGCAGAACTGCCCCAGGGAGTTTCCGAGACTGTAACTCTTTATGGGAATAGAAAGCCCCCCTTTATCCTGTGGAGCAGCTGGTGATTTTGAACTGCTGGCCTTGCAGTTAGCAGCCTAACAAGTAATCACATGCCACCAGGGTTCCTTAACCAACCCAAAGAGACCAAATTGACAGCATCTGCCCCAAAACAAAGTTCAAAATGCAGGAAAGGGAAAAAACAAAAAACAAAAAAGCTGGGCAAAAAGTAACAGAGAGCCCAGGAGAGTGAGAAAGAATAGTGTTACATTGAATGGATTAACAACAAGGTGCCTACATACAGTTCACCATTTCTTAACAGAGAAGTAAAAAAATTTTAACACAGTAGTCGCTCCTTAGGTAGTCTGCTGACTGAACCCACAAAACTTATTCAGACAAAAATAGATTAAAGAGTGCTAGAATTAAGATATTTAAAGGAGACACATGAATACTTGGAGGTATATAATTCTCTTGAATTAAGATATTTAAAGGAGACACATGAATACTTGGAGGTATATAATTCTCTTCTCACCTGTGTTGTTGCCAGTCCATTACTAATACTGAATCCATTAATCGTGATTTGAATCTGTCCTCTGTTAATCATCTCAATAACTGCTTCTGCAATAGTATTCATAGGAATAACAGGCATATTAAGAGCTGTAATACTGCTTTCTGCATTGTCTCCTCCCTCAGGACATTTCATCTTAAAATAATAAAGAAAGAAAGAAATGCATCATTAGGGAAAAGTTCACAAATGCAATTAACTTTACTTCAATGACAATATTGACTAGGTTCTCACCTTAACAATTTTCACATCTGGTAGACTATCAAGAAATGCCTTGAGGTCGATTCCATTCAGAACAATCCGATTGTCATAAATGTGTCCATTGGACTTAAAATCAATGACTGCTTTTTTCTGATGGAAAAAGATTCAGACAGATCTTTCAGATGTGTGTGGACAACAGCAGAAAAATAAAAAACTACGACTCTTTAAAATTTCCTTCATAGCCTATTTTCTACCTACCTTCAGATGAGGGAACATATTTGCATGATCACCGATAAAGAAAGTGTGGGGCATATAAGCCAGTTTCTCAGAATACTGCTCAGCAACTTCAGAAGGTGAAGTTTCTTGATCAGTGATAATATAATCCATGAAAAGTGCACCACTTGTACCAGGATACCCCAGCCACATAGCCTAAAATCAGGCCCAAAAAAGGATTAAGAACCTTTTTGAAAAGGCTAAAAAATTAAACAAATAAGGACATCCTGATTTCATTAGCCAAGAGTAATTAAGTATTATTTTAGGATAACCTTCTTCTTTTTTTTTTTAAGATAACCTTCTAATTGCTAAAATGTCGTTTCAATTTGTAAGACAAAGCAATTATTTACATCCAACCATGAGTTACATGTCTGCACATAGATACACAATCAATAGTCTCTATGCATTTCAAAAGCTATACTTTAAAAATGCAAGCATGACTACCCTATTGTTGAACCCCCAGAGAACTATATCACTCTCTTTTTAGTATGTTACACACTGTAAACAATACTTATTAATTCCTGTACCTGGATAGGAGCTGGCCTGAGAGCAAAGAGTTCATTTCGAGCACCCTTGGTGTAACCATTCATATTTACAAGGATGTGTATTCCATCCTGGTGGATGCGGTCAGCCGCCTTTCCATTGCACGGAATCTGTGGAATCAAAGAGATAAGAATTTACTATGTATAATCTTAGGCTCCACAATTTGCCTGTCTGTTTGTCGTGCTGTGGTAGCTTCTGTGTGGCTGTGACACTAGAAAATATGTCATGGGTATTTCAAATACGACCCGGGTCACCCAAAGTGAACAGGTTTCTGCAGAGCTGAAAGACTATGAAGAAGAAATCAGCCACTGCAAACTCTATGGATGGCAGCGGAGCAAATGGACACAATGGCTGCAAAAATGGGCTCACCCATGAAATAACTGTGAGGATGGCTCAGGTCAAGGCGATGTTTCTGAGTTGGAACTGACTCAATGGCACCTAACAACAATCTCACGCTGATTTAATTGGTCTCCAAACCAAACTCTTTACCACTGAGTCAATGCTGACTCCTAGCAAGGTCCCCACCCCGCCCCGCCCTCCACCCCACCCCACTGTGGGTTGACAGGTGTAGAAAGTCCAGTTTTTCTCCTGCAGAGCTGCAGGTGGTTTAGAGCTGCTGACTGTGCAGATCGCAGCCCAACATATAACCACTATACCACCAGGGCTCCTTCAATTAATCTTAATAGGAATAACAGTAATTCACAGGTGCCCAGGTTGTATGTTCGAACACAAGAACACAGGGTAGAAAGATGATTAAGTGTCATTAAAATGGGCCCAAAAGCATTACAGAAATAAAACAAAGGTGAGTTTACTTTTGGATTAAAGGTGTATTGAAGGAGTTGGTATTTTAAACGAGCCTTCAAAAATGGAGAAGAAAAACCATTGAACTTCAGGAGACACAAAGTTATGTCAATAAGATGGTTAATAAAAAATGGACAGAAAAGTTCAAGGCAGTTTAAGTACAATCTCTACATTCAATTGAACATAATCTGAGTAGAAAACAATTGGATAAAAAAACAAAGTAAACTGAATGGTTTAAAATATAGTGAAGTGGGTAGTTTCTTTTTATTTGGTATAGGTATATATAAAGAGCCCTGGTGGCACAGTGATTAAGCACTGGGCTGCTAACTGAAAGGTCCATGGATTCACCTTGCAAGCCATTCTACAAAAAAAAACAAACAACAGTGGCAATCTCCACCTCCTTCCCTAACACCTTTAAACTCTTTAAGGCAGTTCTGCTCTGTCCCGTCCCATCATAGGGTGACTTTGAGTTTGAATCAACTTGCTGTACAGCAACAGCTTAGGCATGAATGAGGGTGAATGATGGGTGAAAGTATTGGCAAACAAGGTGGTGATCACGTGTTGAAAGGTTTTACAAGGTAATCCTGACCAGTTTTAGTCAATTAAAAAAAAAACAAAGCGCAAAGGGTCGCAGAGGTAGAGATTGGTTTTCTTCTCTGTCACAAAGCATCCAACCTAAATTAAAAATGGTCAAGCACAGAGCCAAACACTTGGAACTATGGGTTTCTCCCAGTCCAGGGCAAAGAGTGCGGAAAGTCAAAATATATGGCAACACAGTACAATGACCACACAAACATGAGTGTCCACAACCCTGAGACTCGAACTAGATGGTTCCCCACTATGACTACCAACCACTCTGAAAAAGATCACATTAGAAGATCTTGGAGAGGGTGAGAGAAAAATGTGGAACAGAACTCAAAATGATAAAAAGAGATCAGGCTTACTGGTAAGACAGAGACTGTAGGGACCCCCAGGACTACACCCTTCAGGTCTGGAACTGAACTCAGCTTCAAGTGAGAATAATCAATCATGTAAGATCAAAAGGGCCATCTTTATCCACTGACAAGGACAGAGGGTTAGGAAAGATGGAGGAATGGAGGCAGAAAACACAAAGAGGAAGCAGGAGAAGGGATGTCACACTGAAGGCACTGCAATAGGTGAGTTGAATCAGAATGTGTGTAAATGGTTTAAATGTAAAATTTGTATCTTTTCTGTAAACTTTTGCTTAATTCACAATAAAAGAATTTTTTTAATGGCCAGGTATATTTCTGAAGGAATAGTTAAATCACAAAAGACATTAGAACTTATTATTTATTAAATAACAAAAGTCACAGTCCTTCTATTAAGCTTTCAATGATTGGTATAAAATTATACATTGCATAAGGCAAATGGAAGAAGTAAAGTAAAAGGTTAACAGAAATTTTCAAAAGACAGCTTGGAAAGAAAATGTAAATTATAATGAAATGTGCAAGGAAAAACATGGTCAGCATATCTTAACCTGAAAGAACTCAAGGAAAAAAACCAGGCCTTGAGTTGCAACATTGAAAGATTCTATGGGCAAAGTGCTGAATGATGCAGGAAGCATCAAAGAAGATGGAAAGTAAGGGGAAGGGGAAGGTAGAAAGGAGGAATCAATCACAAGGATCAACATATAACCCACTCCCAGAGGGTCAAACAGAAAAGTGGGTGAAGGGAGACAGAGGATGATGTAAGATATGAAAATAATAATCTATAATTTATCAAGGGTTCATGTGGGAGGGGAGGGGGGAGGGAGGGATAAAAGAGGAGCTAATACCAAGGGCTCAAGTAGAAAGAAAATGTTTTCAATTGCTCTTGTATATAAAGCTCTTTCCTGAGACAAAGGGGAAATCGATCATATGGATCAACATATAACAGCCTCCCACCCCCACCAGAGAG